AACTAAAAAGTAATTATAAAAATAATTATACAAAAAAATACATAAAGATAAATATGAATTTTATATATGTATAAAGATAACGATACATACATAATTATTGAATCCATAAAGATGTCATGGACGTATACATACAAAGAAATGTTTGAAAACAAATATATTATATGAATTAAGATAATGCATACATTATAAAATATAATACCACATAGCTAGTTGTTCGAACAAAAATGTGACTACGAAAACTAGTTTTCTTTCGATTTCCATAATTATCTACTTATCATTAGAATCTATAGTGCTACTCTCTAAGAGGATTAGTATTTCATCAACACATTAGCCCTGAAACGATATTCTGTTATATTTTCTGAATTGAATTATACGTTACATCAACAAACGAAACCATTTCCTCAATTACACTTGTGAATATTAACAAGAAGATAAGGATGTACCCACTATTCAACCGAATTTTTTACTTCCACTAAATACCTAAATAATCGCCTCTCTAATGGGAATCCACTCATCAACGTCAGCCATTTTAAAAAAGTCAGAACGGAACGCGGTCCTGCGATCGATGCCGGAAAATGCTTCGGGATCTTTCAGCAGCGAGGATTTATTCGCAGGTCACCGTCATGCTGGGCGATATATAAATTGAATTGTAAATGCGAGACACGCCGAGTCGGTTGGCCCACACAAGCGGTGTGCATTATGCGTGCGACTATTTGCACGCGTGCTATTCGCCTACGCGCTCGCGTAGACGGCTCGTGCATCTTTCGCCCTTTACGCCCGCGCCTTCTTCATCGTCCTCGTTCTGTGCGTCGTCCTTGTTCTCGAACGTCGTCCACGCCGCCACGCGCATCGTTCATCTACGCGATATTAGGCTTATGGAGTCTTTTTTGCGTGACATTTTCAGAAAATCTATTTTTTTTTATTATTATTCTTCCTAAGATAAATATTACGTTGGTGCATATGAAATGTCGTTTTTCTAGTGTTTCAATCACCCGGGCCAATGACATCCATTTCCCGTCTACTCTGTTATCAATTGATTGTAATTGCACTAAAGAAGCAGAAATATGCTGTAAGGCACACACCTTAAAATACTAAAGATGTTTACAGTAGAAACATTAGAATCTTACTATCATCAAATATGAATATTTAAAATATCCGTATAATTTTTAATATGAGTATAATCTTGCGAAGACGGTGGTGAAAATTGCTAAAAATAAAAAGATAGCTTTTGAAAAAGATTACGTGAATATTACAATAATTTAACGCTGATTTGAAAAATTCAAGGCTGGTGATTTTTTATTAGGAAATTAACTTACTCGTCATCATTTTCTATCCTCTGATTGTATAATTAATGCAGAATCTCACTGCAATGAAATAGAAGAAATGCATTCAAAATTAATAAAAATATAGAACTATGTGAAAATTATTTTAATTAAATGTACAGTATTTTATTGAATATACTGTAGTTTTGTATAGTTAGAGTTTCATTTGTAAAAACGACATTTCAGATGTACCACCTTAATATTACATGTGGCTATTAATTCTGTGCCTTTCTATGATAAACTTATTGTTCATTGTAAAAGAAAAACTATACTACTGATGATCTCCAGTTATACCGGAGAGATGTTAAAACAAGTGTCAAAGGAATCTGTGTTTTTCATGAAAGTTGGTACTTTAATGTAACAAAATGGCGAGGAAATATATTTGTTTAAATCAATCAACAAATGAAAAACAACAACAACAACAACAACAACAACAACAATGATATATTTTTATTCTACCAGGGTGGAAGTACAAGTGTAAAAATAAATCTCGTTCAGTGCAAAGGCATAGTTATACATATACTGTTATCTGTAGACTGTACCACTGCATAAATATAGCAAATTATAGAAACTAAAATACACATTACAATGTTTAGAAGACAATACATACTTTAATTTACGTTTCTGTTCTTCGTATGTGTACATAAAAATATGAATTTGTATAAGGATCTACTGTCTATTGGTCTGTCTTCAAAAACAATACAAAACAAAGCGATACAATAATAAAGAAAACGGAAGAGGAAAAAGGAGAAGTAGAAAATGATCGTCTACGCTACGGCGCGCATCGCTTATACGCTCGATATTGCATTTAAACCCGTTTTTACGTACACTGTTTAATGTTCTTGTCGAGCTCCGAGCGTTTTCTTGTCACGGTGCCCTTAACGATGAGGAAAGAAACGTTTTCTATACTGAGATCGGTTGTCTCTGACTTTGCGGCTGTGTAATGGGACCACAACGACGCTGGCTTGAATAATTTCACGGTTGTTTTTGCAGCACGATCGTAGAACTTCTGATCCCTTTTTATAAAAAATATCTCAAGTACTTTTCCTTGCTATTTCTTTTGTTGTTTTTGTTGAAACCGATTATTCTTTGAAGTATATCGTATAGAGATGGGGAAAGGTTCTATAATAGCTGGATAAATATTATTCAACGAATAAAAGTTTATACAGATATATATATATAAAATTTAATCATTTCTTGTTGGAAGAAAATAATAAAGTAATTATTGTAGTTCTTACAGGAAACCCTTTTGATTTATTTAATTAACAAAGAAAAGAATTATTTAGCTAAGGAAAGGAGTGGCGGGAAGGAATTATATGGCTAAGGAAAAGTTAGTTTGGAAATAAGCAGTCACTTGCTTTATTAAAGGAAAATGGAGAACTCATACGTGTTTTAATGAAATAAAGAGAAATAACTAAATGACGAAAAATTAAATTGCTTATGGTATTACTACTGGACGGTTTGTATTTTACATGTAAACGTGTTGACATATTTTATTAGAAGATTGTTTCTTACCCGACATTTTGTCAAAAATTATATTATTTCAACGTTTTCCATGATAATTCATACATATAGATATGGAAATTACTGAAGTGGATCCGAATTAGGGTTGAAGGTGTTTTAATAATTTATACAATTCCGCAAATCAAAGGGATTGTTATTAATGACTACAAGAATTACTTCATTATTCTCCGAATAATTATTTAATCAAATTTAACTTAGCAAATAATTCATCAGTCATCCATTGTTCGAATAAAATTTTTTCCAACTCTGGTGTCACACAGTGTGCTATAGAACTCGCTTACGCGACATATTGAGGGTGTGCGCCATTTTGAATAAGCTTATGGCCCCCATGATCAATGAAAGCGAGGCGTTCGTGAAGTCATGTTCTCAGTAATTTGTATTTGAAAGTGTAATTGTAAAATTGTCACATGCGTATTTAACCTTTAGTAATTACTGGTTATTATAGTTATTATTGATTTCATCTAGTTATTCACCTATCTATAAGGGGAGGTTAGTAAGGGAAGAAGCAGTAAGTTTACCCACGTTTCCATAAAGACTGCAAGTTTCCATAAAGCTTATGGGTTTCAATTTGAATTTAATTGGAAATCAAATTATATCGTACGTCATCGAAGTTGAAAGTATCTAAACGACCTATAGAAAATCTTTTAGAGTTAAAAGATAGCACGTCACTTTATTTTGTCAAAATTATTATATTAAGTACCTGAATGTATAACGTAAATAAACGAATGGTCATTTAATCTATATATTTGTGTACTTCAATTGTAAACAAGGCAGGAGAACAATTTGTTTCATCTCATTTTTGTATTCCAATGAGTATTCTATTCAAATATTCGATGAATATAATTCCAATTCGTGATTATTCGATTATGTACTTCGATTGAGTATTTCTATATTCATAGTGTTCGAATAGAATGATGTATGTAGATTGTGAATCAAGTAGTCTCACCCTTACTGTAAGTATTTGGATACTTTCATGTTTAAATAATAATATTTGAGGAATGATATTGAAGTATTTAAATATTCAAACATTATTTACAGCATTCGAATAACTAATATATTTGCCTATTAAATTATTCCAATAATTCCAGCCGCATTATAAACAAATATCAATAGATTTACAGCAATCACGCTTGAGAAATAGTTTCATTGTAGGTGCAAGGTTTATTTGTTAGATTAGTTAATAGCTTAGCTATAGTTAATAGCATTTCCATCCCTGTCTTTTGTCTAGATAAATATTTCAGATTTTCGTCAACGCGTAAAGATTCCAAAATGAGTGAACGACACAAAGCTTAGCAATTGCGACAATGCTGATCGATTAACTGTGATTCACGCATACACGTTGAAGATTAATTAAATATGTTTCCAGAAGCATACTTTGTGCTTAAAAAGATTATTTTAGGATAGAATTCAGCGACCAGCATCTTTGGAAAAGTATTGTTTCACTTTATGTAAAAATGTAGTATTACATAAATTAATAGCATTCCTATCGTCGTCCCTGATCTAAACGAAGGTTCTCGATTTTTGTCAGCTCTTGAAGGCTTCATAGCGACTGAGCCATCTTCTCGATTCACTAGTGCACGCATAAACATTGGAGACTAAGCGGCACGAAGTAATTAACGATACAAATATATGCGCGATATATTTGCAGAACTATACTTGGGAGCTGAAAGATTACCCTTTAGTGGAATTCAGTTTTAACGATCAGAATGCTTGGAAAAGATCATCGCAAGTTTCACATCGCATAAAACAGTAGTTTATAGTATTACTCTCATAAAAACGCGCTGGATGGATAAGAAGATTGTCTCACATCGTAAAAATCGGCAAAGAACAGCTCCGATCGCTCCGACCACCATTTCAAGCTTGATTTGTCAATACGATGCAAGTCGATCAACGGTACAGACACACAGACTAAATATTTCTGGAAGAATACTCAGAAGCTGACGAGATTGGCCTTTGGTAGCAATAAAAAATTTGTGAAGAAAGTTGTTCTATTATTGATTACGATCTCGTACGGATTATTGATTCAAGTACACACTCCAGACTTTCCTAGAAATATACTCTGGAACTGTAGATGCCAACCTCTAAACGAAATATCTATTAAATTCAATGATAACAGTTTTTGAAAAAAGCATATTTTACTATTGGTCACGATTTCATTAAAACAGGGTTTAATAGAATCATTATCATGGAAACTCATTTTATACACGAACAAATCTCATATCACGTTTATCAGTAAAGGACAGTCTTCATAGCTTCGAGCAATATCTTGAAGTTAGCGAGTCAATTACTGGTACTATAAGCACACACTCGAGATATTTTTAGAAGTATACTCGGAACCTAGAAATATCACCTCCGAACAAAGTATTAATTTCAATGATAATAATTTTTGAGAAATATTATTTCACTATTGATCACGATTTCTTATCGCTTAAAATAGCGACAAATGGAATCCTTACCATGAAAACTCATTCTATGAATGGACTTCTCGAAACTCGATTCATCAACACAACACGAATTCATTTGTAGGTACTAGTACACATGTAAAATTTTCCCATAAGAATACTCTGGAGCTGGCGAGATTGGCCTTAACTGCAATTCAAATTAAGCAATCCACGTTTTAAAGAATTTCACTATCGAAGGAGATTTCGTATCACAGTAACCAGGAATTAATACAATTCTAACCATGAAAACTAATTTACGGGCAAGAAGACGGCTTTCCCCACGTTGTGAACATCACCGAGGTACAATCTCCGCAGCTCTAGTATTCGAAAATACGCGTACGTCGTTCACCGCGAAACACCGAGGCTCAACACTCGAACAACGTAAATCCCATAAACGGAACATATCGTATCCATGGAAAAGAATGCCGAGAGACGTCGAGGGTTCTAGGACTATCTCGAAGGTGGTCCCGGCCGCGGCGCCTGGACGCCTCGGTGTGTCGCGACGACGATCGAAAAGTCTGGCCAGTGACACCGTTGCTAGCTGTGGATGGTTACTCACTCCTCGACGGGATCGGTGCAGCACGTGCATCCGGCATATCGACACATGCGTTCCCGTTGGCCGCGGCGAAGACGCAGGTGCGAATGCGCAGGGTATCCGGGATCCTCGTCCCAACTCTCTTCGACGAAGGCGATAAACCGTCAAGTGGTTTCGCGATCCTCCTCCGTTATGCACCACCGCCGAGGAAACACGTTAACCAGCGTCGTTTGGGGTCCCACGACGAAAACGGACCCAGTTTCCCGTGTAAAGCCGGACCGAGACGTCCGCGGAAGACGATCGAGTCGCGCGTCGCGTTTTTCCTCGCTTGCCCGGCCGAGTTTTTCGTCGGTCCGATACTGCCGGGCCACACACGCAATATTTTTGCCCCGGCACGCACATCCCTCTCGTTTTCACGCATTCACCGCGCCTGTGTGCTCGGCCTTGTGTACAGTATAGTGGGAACGATGTTCGCGTGTGTGGGTCACGTGGACGGGGCAGTATTGGTTCGCACACGCACACGGGGTGCTCTCCACTTTCATCCCCGACTCACACGCCGCCCAGGACTCACACATCACGACCGATACATCGCGACCCGTTCATAGAAGGGAGAAAAATCGATGGAGTAGCTGGCAAGAGAGAGGCTACACGCACTGGGGAACCCTTCTTCTTTTTAACCCCGCGCGCTTTTGAGGGCTTTAAAGGCCACGGCGATTAGCATAAATTTCGCTGCCTTCGACCACACCCTTTCTCGAACCCCCAAGCCCGGGATCGACCTATCCCGGTGAGGGACGGTGCTCAGGTTCCCTACCACGACGGCCAGTCAGCATCGTCTTTCGCTACCCCCGGCTACAGAGGAAGGGTCGGAGCTTCCTGGGAGGCGGGCAGAAATGCCACCCTTCGTTGGGTTTATTTCGTCCACCGGGTGGGGTGGCGAAATTTCGCATGGATTCCCGTGCGAATATATGCCGGGAAGGGTGGTTTTCTCGTCAATGTTGTGCCTTCTCCTTCCTTCACCTCTGATCCTCTTTCCACCCCGCTCTTTTTTCTCTGAATCCCTCCCTTGGGTTCGGGTGAGTCACGGGTTATATCATGGCGGACTTCTTTCATTCCCTGCCCCCTCGTTCTCCCGTTGGCGTTGCCACGCTACCAAGCGCAATGGCAGGGGGGTAGCAGACGAATCAAGGCACGACGAAGGTGTCTTTATTTTTGTTCCACGGTGAAATATATGCTGTACAAGCTGAATGCGACGCCTTGTTATCTTTGTGCTTTCAAACTGGACCGACCGGATCGGACAATCTTCGGTCCAGGTGTCGTACGCGATATACTCTCTTAACCCCCTTTTTATCCGGCTTTGGGAAAATATTACGAGACGCGTCTTCGTTGCGGACCGTTACTTCATTTATCGGGTGCGAAATGGTTCGTTTGCTTCAACGAAGCCTTTTCGATTTCGTTGGTCGATTCGCGAGCAGGGGCAAGCACTATTTCAAGGTCGCTGAAACGGTGTCTCTGGCAATTTATGCCGTGACCCTTCCTTTCATGAATTTTATATTATCTTTTAAAAAGGAAATTCGAGAATAAGTTAACCCTTTGCATTCAAGGCCTTTTTTCTAGTATCTACCAGCGACTCGAGATGCTTTCTTAGCATTCTATTGCCACGAATGCTGAGCTATCGAGCTATCGAGCATTTTATTGACACTTCGAGTTCCAAAGAAATTAAACCTAAAGAAACATTATTGCTGATAGATTTGCTGCGTGAAACCTAATGGTGACTGAGAGTCACCTCTCGAGTGCAAAGGGTTAACTTTAGAGTCTAAAGTGTCAGTGTTATTCGCAGACGTACGATTGAAGTGCGTCTACATTCGATTCAAATATTTTCTACATTATACAGGGAATATCAACATAGGAAGCATCAAGTATATAAACTAATCTTGTGTCTTGCTAATGTAGACTTACCATTTATTTCTAAAAAAAGAGCAATACAACATTTAATCTTCACTCAATCACAGGAGAGAGAAAGAGAAAGAGAGCGCACATACCATTTTAAACTGTAGCTATAAACAATTTAATGTAAGGGCACACAACTAGTTCCTACGTCTACTTCTATTGTACTGCATAATCCCTCATGCAAAATCTCGATCCTTCGACCAATTTAACTCTTTTCTTTACACTATAAAACACATGAATTATAGATATAACATATCGATTTGGAATGTAATATGATGCGCTAGATAACTTCTAACGTAGAATCCTAATCCTTTGCCACATACATCCATTTTCTACACATTATAAAGCACATGATCTTGAAATATAATAACACAGTACATAACCCCTAATACAGAATCCCAATTCTTTGAGAAGTATACTTATCATTCGCACAATATAAATCACACGTACTTGAAGTGTAATAACACAATACACAACCCCTAATACAAGATCCCAAATTTTCAATAAATTCAATTCTCTCATACACTCTGTAGGACATTTCACTCGAAAATGTTGTTATCCTGCTAATACAAGCAATGGAGTTAAATCACTCTGAAACGATTAACTTATTTATCCCTCGTCTCCTATACAGAAATCTATCGTTAAAATATTAGGTAGACTGGAAAGTAATGTGGTTTTTGTAATTTTAAATCCTTGTTTATCACTCAACACCTCGTTGCTTTTTATCGGTCATTGAAAATTTGCACACTAATTGGCTGTTGATAACGAGGGCGATTACATAATTGCTTAAAAATAGAAATTCATCAAAAATTTGTTTGAATTTAATGTAAAAGAAACGACATTACTTTCCAGTCTACTTAATATATTCATAGAAAATTGTGTTTTACACAAAACGACTCAACACTCCATCCACACGTACACAGAGTTTCTTTTCAGTTTTCTTTTCTTCGGTATCACTTCTCCTCCGTTAATTTTACAGGTATCGTTTTACAGGTTGCAATTTATATTCTCCGTAAGGTATAAAGTTTTCGCTTGAAGCATAAATGAGTTAATACAACATCTCGTCTACCACATATCACATCAAGCCCGAAGAACACCACACGAGCAGTATCGTCTCCCATCCAAAAATAAATGTAACCCTAACGGATTCCAGTACTTCTCCCACTGCCATTCCTTTCACGATCCAACATCGCGGAGGTAACTTTTAGATAGGTGGCTCCTTTAGTGACGAAATGATTCAGCATCCAATGGGTCGAGCCGGTTTTTGCGGAGTCTGGTCCTGGGTACCATGGTTCGAGTTGCACGGCGACATAATGTTTCAATGTAATGCCGCGATAAGAAAGGGAACACGCGACGAAAAACGTCCCGTCTGATCGAAATTGGTAAGTAGGTGGTTTAACGAAGCATAAGTTAGTTTCTTTCGTTGGTCGAGCTGCCAGCTGGAAGCCGATCCTTCGTCTGCCGCGACGTATCTAACCTGGTGATCTGTGGAAACGTGGACAGGGGGTAATTAGAAAAATAGTCCGTTTTCATGCTGCTATGCCTGGACGAGGCAATAGTAAATACATAGTAGACTCGGGATGTCCTGGGATGTCTTAAGTGATTTAGTCTCGCGATGCTGCTTCAGCATTCGTCAATTTTAATGGAAGCTCTTCTGGTTCGCATAATAGCTTGTCTGTTTGAAATGAAATCCTTTTTGCGCTTGTGCTTCTGCCCCGCTCTCGTGCAAGGTACCTGCGCTCAACCCTCTATTTCATGAATTTTTTACTTTTCCTTCTTTATTCTCCGTATTTTTCTCTTTTCGAGCCCTAAAAGTTTAGTATCGATCGTTTTTTATTAGGTAAACGACGTTTCGACATGGAAAAATATTTGTATCCTTTCAAATAATTACACCTGACGTTGACATTGCATTCTAAGTTAATATCATCAATAAAAGAAGTTATAAACATGACATACATATTCTAAGGTTATATAATAGATATACTACACGATAATTGTTTGATCTCACCCAAATAAAGTTGAAAATATCATCAAATGTAGTACGTAATTCAACAAACGTATTATTAGGTTCTCCTACTGGAAATGTTGAAAATTGTGACACTGCCTAAATACTCGAAATTTGGATTAATTAGTTTAAAGTACTCTACCTCAATTTCTGTGCTTATCAATTAAAGAATGATTTTTCTTCTCAAAACCTTGAGATTGGTGATGTTTCCAAAGTTTAATTATATTTGGTTATAATTATAAGAGATATAATCTTAATTCATCTTTTTCGCATAATTTTAGGCGCTTTCTTTGCTAAGTCAGTATTTAAGAAAAAACACTGAGACCCCTTTTCAACTAAATATGAAGTTGGAAACGCTATAATTACAACCTTAATTTCCATTTATAGCAGCTAAAATATACTAAATAACATATTTTTTATTAATCCACGTAAAGTGATCATCACCCCCAAAATTAGATAGTTAGACAGGCGCGCACTACAAGATATCAATTGGGGGTGATATCGCCCGCGTTGAGAAACAATGATTTAGATGACGTATGTATATATGCCACGTACGCATGTGGTCGGTTCCGAGCTAGAGTGAAAATGGCCTGTACTCGGTGATACAATTATAACAGCCTAGCAGGTCTCCACTCGCGGTGGTGTCGCTGTAGGAACACAGTCGTGCCCTTTCTCACGGTCGAGATCGCGAGGTCGCGAGAGAAGTCTGCCTGAGTTGGACGTAAAAGTTGGTAGGCAACTAAGTCGGTCTTGGCTAGACACACGCGAAAGCCGCGCGCGAAAGCGTCCGCCTAGAGTAAGTTACAGTCGTAATCTTTTGAGCGACACTTTCGCGGCGACACGGGCATTACGACCTGGATGGATAAAGAGTGCGGAGTGCCGCTCACCCGACGGGACGCGCGATTATGCAAACGCGCATTCTGTTCGGTGGCGTCACTATGGTGAGCTAGGGGTGTAGACTGCACTGGGTGGCAGCATCGAAGGTGGTGAC